ACTGCGACCAGCAGAGCGATAGGGACAAAAAATTTAGTTCTTGTAATGGCTGTAAGCCTTCTTTTTTGGAAAAAAAAAACGTTCACGTGGCGTTTCAAGTGACTCCTTCCATGCTCTCTTCTCCCCTCCTCCTTTCCGCCCTCCCTCTTCCCACAACTTTCATAATCCAGTTCCGGTTAGCCACCACCAGTGTACCACAATCCCTTACCAAACAAACTACAAAAAAAAAAACCTAATGGAACGACAAAAACTAACTTCGATTGCCGCTGCATTTCCGGGTTTCTTGGAGCAGTTTCCACATTCAAGGTGTTGTTCGTAGCTCTCGTCGCTGTAGTACAGCTTCTTGCACGATCTACAGTACGTAGCCGGCTGAGGTGTTGAAGAGGGTGCCTTCATGGCTGTTGATGGATCCTCGGGCAAATCTTCATAAAAAACGGAAATTGGATACGGCATTCTTCGCTCCATTTTTTCTAACGAATCATACGCCAGCGTTCTACAAAAAACACACAGTCAAAAAGTTAATATTCCACTTTTGTGTTTAACTCCTACCCGCACGCACAGTTCGGTCTGCGTATACAGCTAAGGGATGAAACACAGAGACTGCGCCATAAAATGTTTTCATACACATAACATTCAAGTTAGATCCTTCTATTCTTCTATTTTTTATGAAAGACAGAAGCATCAGGAAGTGAGTATGCCACGTATGTAAAAAAAAAAAACGTAAAATCAAACCTTAAAGATGGGACCCGATAGCGCTTTGTCTTTGGTTCAACTTCAAGAAATCGAATCTTTGGCACTTTCATGTATTGTGGATATGGGTTCTTTTCCAAAACTGCCAATGCATCTTTGCATCTGCTTCGATAACCAATCTGTACTATTTTCATATCTGAAAATGGGAAACCATTGTGCCTTAGGTATATTCCTGTTTTTTTTTTCCAGTATCCCCCAAAAAAAGGAACAGCCAATTGTGTGCAAAAAAAAAAAAAATTGGAGCCTAAGGTTACTAAGGTTATTAACGCCTAAGATTGACAAGAAAAAGCAAAAAAGCTGAGCTTTCTTTCTTCTTTTTTACAAAAAATACGAAAGAAACATCAGAAATTAGTAAAAAAAAAAATGTAAAATTTCGAACAACTGTTGCTTTTTTAACAAAAATTTTTGACTAGTTTTTATGTATTTTCAACAAGCCTCTTTCCCGATTGAAAGCCAGGTTAGCTTTTCTCTCGCATATGTGATCTTCCAGGCGCTTCAATTTCCAGGTCGAAAAGCCACATCGCTGGCAAAAGAAGAATGGAACACGTGGAATTATGAAACGTCGTAGGTACCGATTGAGAATTTTTCTCGCCACAGGAATATTGTTTTTGAGAAACATTGGTTGATTATTTCGACTGAAATATTAAATATGTGCGCAATTGATAGCTGCGACCACTCGGAAGTGATCCGAGTGGTTGCAATCACCAGTGGTACCACCACTCCAACGA